ACACTGTACTGACCCAATTAAATGGGTTTCTTGCCATACATGACCCAACACTGTACTGACTCATTTTAAACTGGCCACATGCCATACTACAGGGGTAACCAGTTGTATCAATAAATCACGACGAAATTTCTGACATGAAATAATGTTCATGGTAAAAAAGGGTTAATTCGCTGGATTGGATTCATGCTATGGTCGTATGAGAGTGATTCATTGGTACGTTAATGTTTTTAGAATGGATATGTGTATTTTTTTTTATTTTTTAGTCTTTTTGCGATTCTAAAGGGATAAAAGACGCGTGAGAAAAGTCGAATCGAGCGGAGGCTTGTGGTCAAGCTTGCATTCTTTGTGTTAATTTATAGTACCGTCAAGGTGATTTCATGTTGTCAAAAATTTCGTCGTGCTTTATTGATAAAACTGCAGACTCCTGTGGCAATACATACCCACACTGTACTGACCCATCTAAAAAGGTTTATTGCCACTTCTTTCCATATATATCCATGCTGTTGTGACCCTTTACACAGGATTCTTGTTTTTCATACCCACAAGGTACTGACCTATTTAAACAGGAATCTTGCCATCCGTACCCACAAGGTACTGACCTATTTAAACAGGAATCTTGCCATCGATACCCACAAGGTACTGACCCATTTAAACAGGAATCTTGCCATCCATACCCACAATGTACTGACCCATTTAAACAGGAATCTCGCCATCTATACACACAATGTACTGACCCATTTAAACGGGAATTTTGTCATACATGCACGCACTGTACCGATCCATTTATGCAGGTCTCATACGATATATACCCAAATCAAAAATGTCGTTTTTTAAGTTAAAGGCGTTGAATAAATGTAACTATGAAAGGTACATGTGATAAATAATCTAGAAAATCTGATTTAAGTTAGATCTCCACTTTGTTACCTCAACCGCTTATGGGTCTCGTCCTGGTGACCAATCGCATTACCATAATTTTATCCGCCTAGTAGATGAAATCTCATATCTTCGCGCTTGGGAGACTGAGCAAGAAGGCTGAAGAATAACATGTGCCGAACGATTTGATTCACTTTCAGATTTCGGAAATCTAAGTTTCCATTGGCTAATTTAATAATGTCACTAAGCGGTCGCTGTCTGAACTAGACAGTGGAAATATGATTTTCACGAGATTGATAATCTTGAATAAAGAAATCTATATGCTATTTTTTGATTTTGTTTAGAGCTAAAGTTACATTTTTTCCTTTGTAAAATATTGTTTAATAGGAATTTAGAATGATAAATATAATTAATATACAATTTTATTTTGCTTCTAATTCATTATTTATATTTAGTGAAATCTGATCGAATTAGAGAACTATACAAAGACATCATCACAATCTGTTACTTACTCATGCATAATTTGTCTTAAGAAGACGGTATTAGTGTGTTCATTATTTGTTCGGTTTTTTAAATTTCTCTTCTGTATTGAGTACCTACATTATTATTATTTATTTATTTGGCTTGTATGGAAAAATCGAAATATGATTTTTTTTTTATAAATCTCTTGTATCAAACTAAGTCTGCCCGCATAGAAAATGCAAATCTCCTGCATTCCGACTTTGGACTTATTTAAGTGCATGTATAGCAGATTCGATACATTGCTTCTCATCTATGTTAGTTCTCCATACATAACATGTACAGAAACGAATTAATACTTGAAGGTGTTTTGCCGGCTGTAAGAAATTATCCGTAAACTGTAAATCTGCCTCTGAAAAAAAAAACGGAATTTCCGTGTATGTATGCATATATTTAGGCCCACGTGTGTGACTTTTGTCACATGGCTACAATTTGCACATATAGTAGAGAGGCATTAATCGATACAAGATGGTGTATTGCTGAAAGGTTGTTATTCACCAAAGTCCTTAAATTAGCAACGGACGAGAATTAGTAACCCGTCCTAGCTCAGCTGGTAGAACGGACGACTTAAAACAATAGAAAAGTCATCCGTATGTACCACACTGGAATCCGATTTGCGGGATATAATTTTTTTATTTAATTAATATGTTGTTAGTTAATAGATATGGAATAAATTACTGGTGAAAATAGTGCAGCTGTCTTCCAAAGAGAAAAATTCAATTTGCTTTTCTATGTAGGTTTGTGTACTCATGCCTTTTTTCAAATCATGTCTCATAATTCTACCTACTTGTCGGTGTAATGTTGAGCTGTCGTAGAATATAAGCGAGATCACGTTAGAAGTGAACACGTTCTGATCCATCATTCGTGTCTAGGAGACCGAAACACATATGCAGACACACCGCACATGCTCGAAAGCTCGTCAGAGAGAGAGGACACACCGCACATGCTCGAAAGCTCGTCAGAGAGAGAGAGAGAGAGAGAGAGAGAGAGAGAGAGAGAGAGAGAGAGAGAGAGAGAGAGAGAATTGTCAGTCCTGGTTTCCTTCAGTTTACTCATGCTTATATATACATGTATAATTCAAGCATATACACTTTGACTCAGGTTACCTTTATTGGACGTTCTTTTCAATAGAATTTCTTTATTAAATAAAAAAGGTATAAAAAATGCAAGACATCCATTGAAAAAGAAAATCTTGTATGTGAATTTAAAGGAACTAAATTTGTTTATTTGTAGCTAAGATGAAAACAATGTTTGCATAATCACTGACATTGTCAGAATAAATAATAATAAAAAAAAATGTTGAAGAGACCCGATATTCTACGGGAGGCTGCTCCATATCGGATTGAACCAAGACATACTTAAATTACCTCCCTTGATAAGCCTGCAATGTTGACCCAGTTCCAAGCAGACTATCATCGTAGATACAGTCTGAACCTATCAAAAGTAGATCGTTCTCATTTAAGGTATTTATTATTATTATTATTATTATTATTATTATTATTATTATTATTATTATTATTATTATTATTATTATTATTATTATTATTTTTATTATTATTATTATTTCAGATTACGAAGCGAATTTTCGTTCTGGGAAAGCAGAGAATTTTACAGTTATCCTTAATACAGCATTTTACATACAGCTTTCAATTAGGGTATAGGTTAAAAACTTAAAGACGGGTTAGATCATTGCTGTCCAACATGCGGTCTGCGGGCCGAATTTAAATGGCCCGCCAGAGCTCGAGAAATTTTTTGTGCATTTATGTTAAACAAAAAGTCAGTGGTCTACTTTTCTATTATGCTGCGGCCCTCGGCTTCAAGAAAAATTCTTCACTGGCCCATGGTGTCGAAAAGTTTGGACAGCACTGGGTTAGATTAATCAAATTATAAGATTGCTGCACGTGTCTCTGGAAGGATGTCAATAAACTTTACACACAAATACGAATATTTGTTGTGAAATAATTATATTAATATGTCGAAACATGATATAATGAAGACTACTTAAAAATATGGCAGGTGTCATCACAGGAGTACCGTTAAGGTGATTTCATATAGTCAGAAATTTCGTCGTACTTTATTGATAAAACTGCAGAGTCCTGTGGTGTCATCTTCGGGAGCCATGGTTCCGATATGTTATCCTTTAGATCGGTTTACACATAAGAACCTTGGCTTGCGAAGATGAGCAGGTGTACGAGTGAATTTTCATTTATTTAAAAATACTTGAAAATCAGAGTATGTGGATGATTAGATCGTATGTCGTATGTCTGTGAGCACCATTGTGTATCGTCTCTCATTTGACTGTCATGTGATAGTCATGTGCATGTCGTTGATGTGTCAGCTTTCCTTGTGTAGTATGTATACTTATATATACTGCTGTACTATGCCAGAGGTAATCAATTACCGATAGTCTAAAAAATTGCCGTTAGTCGTTTTCGTTCCCCGTGATAGCTCAGTTGGTAGAGCGGAGGACTGTAGAAAAATAGAATAAGGCATCCTTAGGTCACCGGTTCAAATCCGGTTCGCGGGATAGTTTTTTTTATATATAAAATTATATAATGTCACGTGTACTGTTAATAGAATGAAATAAAGAATCTAATCCTGATGAAAATAACGTCAATATCTGCGCATGCTTATGTCGATATTCCATTTTTTATCTTCTTTTTACAGTCTACGTAGAGGTATTAAAATATATATATATATATATATATATATATATATATATATATATATATATATATATATATATATATATATATATATATATATATATATATATATATATATATATATATATATATATATATATATATATATATATATAAAATATCTAGTTAGGATAACCGTTACGGTGGCCTAGTGGTTAGAGCGTCCGCTTCGGATGCGGTATGTCGTGGGTTCAATCCCTAGTAGAATCTTACCAAAGACTTATAAAAAAATGGTACTAACAGCACTAACAGCTGCCTGGCTTGACACTCAGCATTAAGAGGTTATTGTTAGGACTGGTCGGCCTGGTGTCAGGATAATGTGACTGGGTGGGACATCATGCTACACGCCTGCGTCATGCCTATATATCACAATATAATAGGCTCACAGATTCACTACCATAATTAGTATAAAAGCTATTTATGTTAGATTATACATGATTGGGTTAAAGAAGTATTCAAAGTAACATTCTGCCACTTGTTAATTTAACTTTTTACTTAAAGTGCTGAAAGTAGGAATAAATATTTTTGTTTCAAAATTTTTGTTTTGTCTTAATACATTTTAAAATGTTCTAGATTAGTTTTAAATTTAGGTGACAAAATTGCATTTAGTATTTGTAGTCATGTCAGTAAATATCTCCTGCATCGGAATGTGTAGCTCCCGCCTTGAAAAAAAATATCAGGTTACAGTTTGGACATACGAGATTATATTAAGGTAATCTTATGTGTATGTGCGTCAGTACGTGTTAATATATGCACAACTTTCTTTTTAACAGATGTAAGAAGGCCAACCGTATGTTCGCGTGTGTTCGTACCATTGTGTGATTTATCTTATTTTAGTAACCTGTTCTTAGCGGTAGGTAAGGAATTACCCTTAGCGCGTAAATCAGCCAAACTTTATGAATTCCGGTGATAGTTTAGTTGGTAGAGCGATGGACTGTAGAATTTAAAGGCATCCTTAGGTCATCGGTTCAAATCCGTTTCGCGGGAGTTTGTTTATTTTCTCGTTCTTGCATAAAGTGTTTATTAATGAAATTAAGATACGGAACGAAATATTGATCAAAATAGTAGCCATTGTCTGCGCATGCGTGTCTCTATTTCCACATTTATCATACGTTTGCAATATGATGTTGCAGGTATCACGGTACCAATTGCTTTTCCATAGACCGCAGTGCTAATGTTTTGGGAAAGTAATATACTTTCTATCCTACCTCAGCATGCATGTCACACACTGTCACAGAGAACAATGTTAGATTGTTCATTTGATAACATCGAAAATAGGTACTCCATTGCATTTAAGAGAGATAACTTTGCTGGAACTAGACAGGGGTAAGAATTATCTAGTTACACCAGACACATTTTCAGTCCTGTGTACCACATTTTTAAAAAATCTTAAAAAATACAAAATGTGATCTTGATATGAATTAATATAATTTCACATGTTGCCAAGAGGCTCAACTTTTTTTTAAAGCCTAGCAGAAAGTATAACTCTTACATAATGCACCAATCACAGCTAGTTTTGTCGTTTATTTCTGAATGCAATGTTCCCTACACCTTAAGCTCCGTCCACCTGGGGTTGTACAATTGGTACCGTTATACATGCACTCTGATAATGAGTCGCTGGAGAACATATTACGAAGATCTGACAAATGACCAAAGGAAATTCAGTTCCCTGTGTTCGTGGCTGGAGACTGAAATACACGCATGCACACATATGCACGGACGCACATTCATATATGAACTAATTACCGGAACGTTTTCCACCTCGCATTCAATTATTATTATTATTATTGTTATTGTTATTATTATTATTATTATTATTATTATTATTATTATTATTATTGTTGTTGTTGTTGTTGTTATTATTATTATTATTATTATTATTATTATTATTATTATTATTATTATTATTATTATTATTATTATTATTATTATATGGAAGATTGAAAGGAAAAAGTGATCAGGCAGCTCTGATGCTGATATTGATAATTATTCCTTGAAATTATTAATGCCGCTTATACCAGAGATTCGAATCAGCTTTTGCAAAGGGCTGCTTGAAATATAGCTGGTGTGTTGTTTAATTTCAAGCCTTTTGAGTGATTGGGTCGTATGTCAGTGACAGTGTGCTTAGTTCCCACGTCAGTAATCAGGTGCATTTATGTTTGTATCAAAATTTTTCAAACAGGAAAAAAAAGCTTCGTGAAATTCAACTTATCAGCTTCGACACTAAGGACAGACACTGACGGACAGATAACCTGGCAGAATGAGGAGAGTATCACAATTTCCTAGACGACAGATCGTAGCGATAATAGTCTGAAAGCTGTCTGCGTAAAGAAGAAAATGTTTGCTCCTTGATATGTCTCTTGTGCTTGTTTTCTGTATATTTTCCATAATAGTTACTCATATGTGTTGATGTGAAAACTATTCTTTATGAAATAATGATGTTCTTAATTTTAAATATTTTCTTATTATTTACTTTTGTACTAATCATTATTTGGTTTACAGAAAAAAAACGCGAAAGCAAATGCTTCAAGGAGAACAGCCAAATTTCATATCGTAAGTTGGATAATCTTGGGATGAATGTGGGATTTAAAAGGTACATTTGATAAAACACTTTCAAGCGTGTATTATACCATTTCAGGATTCTGGTTTCTCAATTGTCAATTAGGGATACAAACTTTATTAGGATTTAGACGTGTGAGCAACCATATTTGTTTTCAAAAAACAGATGTGTCTTAGTTGGCCGTCTTAGATGAGCTAGGAATAATTTTTCAGATTCACGGAACTTTGGGAGTTAAATCCCTATGGAAACATTTATGTAAGAATTACACCTTTCTATTTTATTCAGTTCTATTACAAATATTAAAACTTGGTAATGCAAACATTGGATGCAGACGACAGTTTTTCCTGAAAATGGACTGTTTTAGAAATCAGAAGGGGACCATGAGCAGTCTGTCTTGTTGTTTACGAAAGCGTACATTAAACAAGATGGCAATATTAGGGGTAACCTGTCGATAATCAGAAATTATAAATTGGTTAAGTTTTTGTTTTCTTTGTATATTCTTAAAATTGGTAGAGGGGTAGAAATAAAACGAAGGGAATTTGAATACTATGAAGACATACTCGAACGGATTTATATATTTTCCAAACTGATTGAATTGTGGCAGCACCATATTGTATATGCAATATTTAATGAATAGGAACGATCTAGGTACTAGAAGATACGAAATATTATAACACTACGAACTTATTGCAAATTTTAAAAAAAAATATTTGTAATGAAAATTAATTTTCCATTAACCTATCATGGAAGGAAAGATAAATCATAGAAGATGTTAAGAGTGCTGTTTTTTTTTCTTCAAATAATATAAATGGACATTTATCTATTTATCTAAATGAAATGGTTTAGATCAGTGCTTACGAAATTGGTTTTTCAATAAAGTGTATGTCAGTACATATAGAAATCTCTTTGATGTAATAAGTTCTCAAGACAACAAACTTCTAAGTTTGAAGACGATTAAAAAGTGATAAGAATGTTAAGCTTTTATTGCCGGAAAAAAATGCACAATTACAGTACTTTAGTTCCATATGTAAATCTACACCCAACATTCCTTGTATCAATTTATGTTGGTTAAGGATGTATGTTTACATCGGCATGTGTGATCTCTTATTTGACTCTCCTGTACATATCGGCGACGATGTGTCCTTCATCTGTGTCAGCTACCTATATACCTAAAATTTGGTGGAGCATCTAATGCATCTTATATACAAGAGAGCTACGATACCATCTTGTAAGGTTTTCATTGAATAAGAAGTTAAATTATTGATTAAACTTTCTTAGATAATGAGCATACAGAATAAAAATTGTGTTTAAATTCGTTTAAAAAGCAATAAATGTATAGGTTGTTAAATCTAAGGAGGAAAATATGTTTGTCATAGCCTATCCAATAACAAATGCAACGCATTGAGTGTGGCAGTTACGGAATGGAAAAGCAAAGACCATTTCAAAACTTGTATTGACGTATATTATTATAGAATTTCATAAGAGATCCAAACAGTTTGTGGCAAATCTACAGGATAGTCAGTGGCACGTACAGCATCCTGAGATACTCAAGGTTAGAAATTGATGCTTTCTAGATATTTTACTTACACTGGCCCATTTATACCGGCCTTTTACCACAAAAATCCAATGACAATTTTATACGGGGCCTCTAGCCAACACATATATACCAACTGACCCATTTATACCGACCAATTGCCATAAATACACACTGATCCATTTATACGGGCCTCTTGTCATAAATACATACTGCCCTATTCATATGGGCCTCTCGCCAGCATTAATACACACTGACCCATTTATACGGAACACTTGCCACAAATACCCACTGACTCATTTATACTAAGCTCTTGCCATAAATACACACTAACCCATTTATACGCGCCTCTTGCCATAAGTTCCCACTGACCCATTTATACGGGCCTTTTGTCATAAATACACACTGACCCATTTATACGGGCCTTTTGTCATAAATACACACTGACCCATTTATACGCGCTTCTTGTCATAAATACCCACTGACACATTTATATGGGTATCTCTCTTTCCATAAATCCCCAATGACACATTTATACTGTCCTCTTGCCATAATTACCCACTGACCCATTTATTCTGGCCTCTTGCCTTAAATACCCACTAACCTATCTAAAGTGATCTCTTGCCATAAATACCCACTGACCCACTTAGACGGGCTTCTTGCCATAAATACCCACTGACCTTTTTATATGGGTCTCTCGCCACCATAAATAAACACTGATCCATTAATACTATTTTGCCATAAATACCCACTGGCCCATTTATACCGGCCTCTTGCCTTAAATACTCATTAACCTATCTAAATAGACCTCTTGCCATAAATACCCACTGACTCACTTATACGGGCCTCTTGCCATAAATACACACTGACCTATTTATACGATCCTCTTACCATAAGTACCCTCTGACCCATTTAAACGGGCCTCTTTACATAAATAGCCACTGACCCATTTACGTGGCACTCACCAATTATGTACTTATAAGAGAGTTGTGTATGTAAGGTGAAGTTGTTTGCATTTAAAACATGCAAAGTGGAGAAAATGTTGGCATACCTCTATGCTACTTTCATGTAATGTTGCTGACATTTCTTTGGATATTTCTAGTGGTAAACATTGGTGTTGTGACAGCAGTGGCAGTATTTACGGTAGGAAACTGGAAAATTACACAATGGAATAAACAAGAAGGGACTCGGTAGATACCGTTTATGTCGCCATGGTGGCAAATGTGATGTAGTTGTACTGGTGTGATATGCCTTAAAACTATATTGATTGGCCTAAGGTAGCGTAGTTAAAATAGTTCCCTGTTTTATTTAGGATATTGGTAGGATTCTACGGCGTGAACTGCTTACGGTACGGAAAGATGATGAAGAGAAACAATGCAGATATGCGGTTGATAGAAATTTGGTATGTTGTAAAAAAAATGTGGTCATGCATTGATTAGGGTAAAATATATGTCTAGAATGGACACGTCGGGCTTTCTAACTTACAACTGAAGTTGCATAGAAGTCTTTGGAAATTTGGGGTAAACGTATGACTTCTAGCTGGAATATATATATATATATATATATATATATATATATATATATATATATATATATATATATATATATATATATATATATATATATATATATATATATATATATATATATATATATATATAAACACCTACCAATTTATATTTCATTTGAGTGTGTCTGTTTGAATAACAGATGTATCGCGGTTAATCTCTTAAACTTCTGTATTCCATTTTTATATATAGTAATTTTTTGGAATTTCTTAGTTATTTTTAGATCTCTTTTGCAAGTAGGTTACGATACATGATTGCAAATTTTTCTTTCAGTAAAAACTTGAATTATTGATGACACTTTCTTAAAAAATGCAGACTATTGAAT